TGCATATATATATATATATATATATATATATATAGAGAGAGAGAGAGAGAGAGAGAGAGACAGACAGACAGAGAGAGGCAGACAGAGAGAGAGGCAAACGAATGGACGAATGGCAAAAAAAAGCAGTGTTACGCGTTTCGTCGTCTAAAAATATTTCATCAGACTAAAGTAAATACTTCTACGTATTCGCTAAAAAATAAACATGAAAAAAATTCCCAAAACGTAATAAAAAACAAAGATTTTTCGTCAAAATCTTTATGCTATTATTAAGAGGAAATCCAAATGATTTTTTATTATTAAATCATATTTTAATCCTTTTTAGAACGTTCAAAATTTTGGTTAAAATTTTTCTTCCATCAGCAGGTGAACATAAATTTAATTTAGCGTCTTTTTTACGATGAAAAAACACATTGATTTTGAAATTCTTGCAATATGTGTGTGTATTATATATATATATATATATATATATATATATATATATATATATATATATATATATATATATATATATATAAAAAGGAAGTAGTTATAGTGCTTCCAACGAGAGAAAAGTGTGTATATTAAAAAGAAGAGAGATACCGCAAACGTTTTTGGTTGTAATGTGGATTTTTTTATAAAATATTATGCTTTACTTTCCATAATTTTACTACACGTGTTTTTGGTTTCGCGACCGTTTATCAGGTAAAGGGTGGAGATTTCTACATATTACTAAAAATAATTAATTTTTTTCTCCTTTATGTTTTTGGATGTTAAATATTCTCGATATGAGACATTCTCTTTTTTATGTGTTAGTAATCCGAATTTATATATATATATATATATATATATATATATATATATATATATATATATATATATATATTATGGACATTAGTGTCTTAAGAAAAAAAATTAGATGAATAATGAATTATTACAAGAATTGTTTTTTAAATTTAAATTAGAATAATTTATAAAGTTTTAAATCTTTTTCATTTGTTTATTACTTTATACCGGTTAGGTGATATTGTTATTAAGTAAAAACTATATTTTTTTAATCACAAATGAAAAAGCCTTCAGAGACTTCAACATTTTAAAAAGAATTTTGAATATTTTTTTTATGTATAAACGTTCCGATTTTTGTAAATATGGACGTCCATTGCGACATTGTTAAAAAATAAGAGCCGTTACTATAGTAAATTCAAAGCTAACGTACCTCAAATTCAATAAAACTAAAAAATCAATAAAACTTTAAATTACTGAAAAATATTTTCCTAAATTTATAAGATACTGGGTAGTTAAAAATTATATAAAAATGTGCTCACGTTGTATTCCTCAAGTAATTTTAAAGGTATAGCCCCGTAGAAAATAATTAGATAAACTTCCGTCTGTCAGTCAGGCTGTCAACACTTACCGCCGTGTAAAAAAAATGCATTTCTGCGGTATCTTAAACTTAAATAAATTTCAAATCAGATTAATTAAACTTTAATTTAGTTAATATTCCTTAAATAAGATTTCAGAAAAGTATGTTATTTTTTAATTATTTTTTAATAAAGAGAATTACACTGACATATGGCTAACAAATTAGCAATTTAAAAAAAAATTAATTCCTGTCAATTTAAATTATTTTGAAATTCAGCAAAGTATTTTGCGTATTAAAATTAAATTTACTCTATAAGTTTGAAACTGAAATAAAAGCTTCAAGAAAGATTTTTTCATTTTAAAAATTAATTTTAAACCTTAGGTATTGCATTTTTTGCGGGGATGGGGATTTTCTTGAACTAAACTAATGTTTTATTGATGGAATTATATATGTGTAGGTGGGGAAGAAGAGATGTAAAAACGCGAGCGTCTGTTTTAATTATGCACCAAGTGGAAATACTGAAGATATGGGAACTTTGAAGTTTAATTTTAAAATTAAAAAAACAATTAATAAAAAAAATAAATTTTGTTTGATAAAAACAAAAACAATAACATAGAGAAATTAAATGCGATCGGCGATACAGGGTGCGATGGGTAAATTGTCGCCATTTTATATTTGTAATTTCGTGCATGCACGTTGTTTACTTTTTATTTTGTTGACTGCACAGTATAGTAGGGTCTGTTGGGCACCGTCTATGAGAAAAAGAGCATCATGACGCAACTCACTCCGCCCGGAAATTTGGAAACGGTATGCTGTACTGCTTGACATTCGTGACGGAAGAACCAATACGAACATTTCAGAGTGTTTTTGGTGTCAATCTGAGAACAGTGCAGTGGATTCAAAAATATTTGGTTGGTTACGGCAGCTCGGAAAACTCACTCGTTCTGATAAGAAAAGAATTCCTGAATTTATTGGTGAAAGCCTCAGACTCAACATGGAGGCCTACATAAGTGCCTTAAGGAGGTAGTGCTGCCCTGGATCAAGAGGGTGGCTGCTGGAAGACCCTATGTCTGGCAACAAGACACTGCACCATGTCACTCAAGCAGAAAGATCCAGTCATGGCTGGCACATCACACTTTACACCTGCCCCCCCCCCTAACTCCTCAGTCTGATTATTATGCCTGGGGCGCAGTTGAGCGCGAGACCAACAAAACTCCTTGTAACACCCAAGATGAACTGAAGGCAAGGATTATGTCAGCCATTCACCAACTTAAACAAGGAGACCATCCAGAAGAATTGCAATAGATTCCAAAGTTACTCGGAGGCCATAGCGATTTTTTTGAATAAATTTACTCTTTAGTATTTCAAGATAATTTTGTGTAATTTTGGTAAATATATCTGTTAAAATGAGATGTCAGTGTTATTTTCATTTTTGCGTAATTTAGATGACAATTTATCCATCGCGCCCAATATGTCTAGAAAAAAATTGAATTTTTAAAAATTGAAAAAAAAATTTTACTTTATATTTCTGCGTTACCATATCTTCGGCGTTTTCCCTCGAAAATTAGAACTAAATTATTATATATATTACATAGTAAAGAAAAACCAACTGTGCGATCAACAGACAAACTGCTAGAAGACTTAACACTTTACAGAAGAAAAAGTCATGAACAAGGTAAGAAAAAAGAAAGAAAAACTAAAAGTCAGTAAAGTGCTTTACCTAGTCAGTAAAGTGATCAACGCCAGATTTATCTAGACAGCGTAAAAAGGCTTCACAACGTCAACACATACCAAAGGACAGTACGTGAGTTACTAGAGTTTCACGGTTTCGCGATCTTCAGATGACTAGAACGCAACTGAAAGAACGCGGGGTCTAGTATTATATAGATATATTCACGCTGCTCTGCCAAAGACGTCTCAGATGGCTGGGGCACGTACGCCGCATGGGATCCGGCCGCATCCCAAGAGTCATCCTGTCCGGAGAGTTGTGTGGGGGGTCCCGCCTAACTGGAAAACCTCAGCTCCACTTCAAGGATGTCTGCAAACTAGACATGAAGCTCACTGACATCGACCCCAACACCTGGGAGCCCGCGGCTGACGATCGTCAGCTTTGGAGCCACAGTCAGTGACGGCGTCACGATTACAGAAGCTGCGAGGGAAGATCAGCAGGCAACAAAGAGAGCCAGGAGAAAAGCAAGGACAGCCCCCGTCTCCGTGTCATCCAGTTTCATCTGCGCCAAGTGCCTGGGAGACTGCCGCTCCAGAGTGGGACTACACAGTCACGAGAGGCGATGTAACGCTATCGCCTAGAATTTTTTTTTAAAAAAAAAAAAGAATAAGCGCTACTCCATCGTCTCCCGAGCGCTTATTCTTTTATATATATATATATATATATCATATATATATATATATATATATATATATATATATATATATATATATATATATATATATATATATATATATATATTGATAACACAACAACAAGCAGTTAGCGTCGAAAATGCAAACGTCATCATCACCATGCCCATAAATAGAACCGAGCTTAATCAAATAGCCAGACCAATAGGTGTCTTTGTGCGTGTCTACAAGTGTGCGTGTGTGTGTGAGGAAGTGTAAGTTTCTCTGACGGCACAGGCCGAAGATCTAAACGCGTCAAGAACACCGCTACCCGCTACTTGTTGGAAGGAACATCGTTACATATGAAAGCTACGTTCTCGAAGCCGAAATAGAATTACAACTGCGTATGTGTGTATACCCGAACGCATAGATGTGTATCCGCGCCTAACCTCGGATTGTTTATATGGATGTGTTTGTGTGAACCAAAATGTGTACACTTATATGTATGCGTGTCTATGCGTATGATAGTGTCACCCCAAACAAAAACAGAAGTAGATTCCCCCTCCCACCACAAAACAAGCATAAATAGATCTAATTTAAAAAAAAACAGTTTGTCTGATGATCGCAAAAGCGTGAAACCCAGGGTCACAAACTCATATCGATACAAAAATGAATATATATATATATATATATATATATATATATATATATATATATATATATATATAGGGGATGATACATACATTTTATATACCAGTTATCACAACAAAAAAGAATATCTAAGTTTGACATAGAATTAGTTTATATTTACTTCTAAAGCAATAAAAGATTCCATTAATACAAAACAAATTAATAATAAACTAAAACTTGAGATATGAATTTACTCAATCGCCTATAATAATCGACACATATATATAAAAAAAAATACACTGCATTAGTTGCTCACTGTAATGAATCTCTGGTTATAATTTCGATTTATAAACGCTACTTTAACCAAAAGAGAAACAGTTCATTAAGACGAAAGTCTATAGAAAATGCTTTAATCACGAGATCATTCATAGTATATTTGCGTTCAGGTTCATACATTTCGCATTTCTTGTCAGATCTAATGTCACAATGTGAAATACTTAATAACAAAAATGATAAAAGACATGAAGAAAAAGAAACTAAATAAAACTGGTTAACTTATATACCCAAGTACATATTTATAAAAAAATTTAAAAGTTTAAAATTTACGTGTTCCCTCAACCTTGTGCGCATGTGTAGTTACATTAAAGTAAACATAATTTTAGTCCGAGCAAGTCCGGAAGGACGAAACGCGTCACACGAAAAAAATTTCCGCTTTGTAATTAATTCTCCTATAGATAGATAGATAGATAGATAGATAGATAGATAGATAGATAGATTTTTGATAGGTATCACCCCATGCAAGCCACTAAGATTCAAGGGGTTACATGATATGGAAGAATTAAGAACAGAAACATTAATGAACGGGAAGTGAAAAGAATAATTAGGAGGACAGAAGATAGTGATTGAAATTAGATTTAAATTTGGGCAGATCAAAGTTGGCTGGAAAGCATGGAGCCGGAAGGGAGATCCACAAGCGAGGAGTGGGAGAAAAGAAACTGTTAGCATAGAATTTACATTTACATCTAACCTGGTCATCTGTAAATTGATGAGATCTCGACGTCAGTCTAGCATTACGCTTAAATTCAAAAACTCTGTGTAGCGAAGAGCGATATTTAATTGTATAAAAATACAAAATGAGACACAAGGCCAAAATGAGGAAAGGGAAAATGGGTTTGTCTTCTTCTGTCTTATAATTAAATTTAGCTAACCACAATCACTAACCCAAACATACGACAATATTCATTACACCAAAACAACGCATTTTTACTTACCATTCTTACCTCATTCACCATAATACCACAGAATCTCCGTGAAAGCCCGAACCAGTCGCCATATGTACAATTCCTCTCTGTGGGGGGATATAGCAATTACCATGAAAGTACTTATACAAAAGGCACAGAGAAGCAACCTTATGGCGGTGGGGAAGTGACTAAAGCCGAGCAGCCAGATCAGGACCAATAACATTGCTGATTCTTCTTTCGATTTTATCAAGGACCTCAAGGTAAATAGCAGGGGCACCGGACCATATGTGGTAGAAATATTCTAAGCATGGACGAATGGTAGACATTTAAATTCTGGCAAGAAAAATTGTCAACTGACCTCGTAATAGATTCAATATAGTTTTCCTCTTCAGGTCAGCTGAAGGGGAAAGACTATATTGATATATATATATATATTTGAATAAAAACAAATGAAAAGCCCTTTTAAAAAAATAAAGAAAAAAGGTTGAAAAAAAATGACTTTTTTTTTTCAACGTTTTTTCTTTTCATTTTTCATTTCAACTTTGAAGATCCAGAGATCCTTAAAAGGGCTGTGGTGAAATAATTTATTACATGGAACCTTAAAAGTGGTCTGTTTTTTATTCAAATTTATTTGCTCTGAATTTACATTGAGCTCTCTGGATATCATCCTCCTTGGGTCTACCCATACGGATTACCTAGTTTTGCATAAACTAACTAACTAACTAACTAACTAACTAACTATATATATATATATATATATATATATATATATATATATATATATATATATATATATAATAGGTCATCAATGCTTATAATGTTCATTACAATCTGTAACAAAATATACTATTGGTATAACCTAGATACTAAAATGATTCCATTACTCTAACTAAAATATCTCATTTTTAAAAATCTCTAGCCTGATGTTTTTTAAATAACGTGTTTATCTATCTCGTGTGTATTTATCTCGTGTGTGCGTTTGTATATATGTCTATGCGTTAGTATGTTTGTGTATCTCTATGTCAGTGAATTTTTAGTTTAATTTAAGTTATTTATTGTTTAAGTTATTTGGTCAGTAATCGTGGCTGCTGAATGATATCATATTTCTTCAACACTACCCAAGTCACAATCCTCACCCAACTCTCCAGTCAACGTGTTACGAGTTTTCTTTGATTTTCGCAGATTTTAGGTCGGGCTAAATTTAATTTGCCCTTTTTCAATTGATACATTGTGCTAAAAAAAATATACTGTACGGAATAATTTATTTAAAATTTGAAAGCAATAAGTTGAAATAAAAATGTGTTCTTTAAAAAGCTGGGCATACAAGTCATTAGAGATTTTAAAAAGCTTCTTTATAAAATTAAAGCAAGTAATACATTGCCTATTATGTTTGTCTCCAGCTTAGATAGAGCCCAGACCTACGCAGCCCGACTAGCCACTTTACTTTTATTGCATTTTTTATTTACTTTATTTCTTTGTTATTTTTCGTTCTTCTTTTTTTCTTTTTTATTATGAACAATATCAACGAAATGTATTTCCGACTATATTTTGAAGCACGGAGTTAAAACAATTAATTTTGAATCCAGCTGAAGTGAAGAATGAAAACGGTGTACTACGAAAGATTTTTGTTGTCTTGAAATATATATTCTTGAATGGTGACTCACTCAGGCTGATAAGCCCGACAAGCCCAACCGCCAGAGTCGTCACTGATATATATATATATATATATATTAATTGACTTAAAATATGTTTCTTTCGCTATTATATCTTACTGTTCTTTCTTTTTATTTATATATACATATATATATAGAGAGAGACAGACAGACAGACAGAGACAGAGAGAGAGACTGTTTCGCTGCAGCACAGCTCATCAGTTTGGCTAGACAACCGATTGCTTCAAGCTGGGATCGAAACCCGGCCGATTTGGCATCAGTCAGAGATTCTATCACAAGCTATCGTCACACGGCAGAGCGGAAGGGAAATTTTTAAAAGTTTTTATTATGCGAAAGACGTCAGTATACGACAGACAGATATACAAATCCAGTTAGAAATATGTACTTATCTAGTTATTTATTATGAATTTATGTGTTGCGTAATTGACATTGGCTCGTAAGTGGGATAAGCGATCCGAGTTCAAATTCCAACCAAAATTTGTTGCGTTCATAAATGCCCTTGTTAAAGGTATGAGTTCATTTTCTCTAATTATCACTTAAATAAAAGTGTAGTAGTGGCTACTTTGTTTTGTGTAGCAGCCATTATAAGGAAAGTACTATTTTGAATTCAAAACCGTTGAGAATAAAACAAGAAACCACTCCACTATCTTTCCCAAGAAGTCATGACAATTCCCAGATAATAAAGAAAAAGAATACGTGAAGAGCCAGGATCGTCTTCATTCTGAAGCGACATAGCATTTTTAAAAACAATAGTTATTTACCATTTTAGACTTATTTGTCCACAGAAAAGAACTCAGTGAAAATCGAACTTATTACCCGAACGAACTGATTTGTGTGATAAACTTATGAATAATCATCTCGCTATCAGTGTTCGAATCCACGTAGGAGACAAGATCATATCTGATGGATGAATTCACTTTTTTGTTTTTCAGTTGTTGTAAACATTGCCAAATCAAATCTATGATTTACAAGTCTGTTGAACAATAATTTTATATTTACTCTTTAAAAATAACTGATAGGCTACGAATAAACACGTACACGATGTGGGATTTGGGATTTGATTTTGCGGTTGTTTTGAACGAGTTCTATTAGTAAAATATTATGATTTCGATTCGGAATCATAGGGCGGCCGCCATATTCTTGAGTAAATGTTTCACGTTTTACACACCCATGCTTCTGAAAGTCAGTCAGTCAGTTTGCATAATTTTAAAGTAATATATAAGTATGAACGTTATCATTACTTCATGAATATTCATTTGTGACGATCTCTTGTACTTAGCAAAACCAGCTGCTCTCTTCATATAGTTTAATGTGCCTCCATTTTTTTTAATGTTTCCATTAATAAGAAAAGAGTAAAAAGTAAATTTCCTCTAGAGTTGTTGATGTAGAATCGCCCCGACGGGTTAAAATAATAAAAAAAAAATGTAATTTAAAAAAAAAAGAAAAGATAATGATTGTAGGAAGAGGAGGAGGTTAAGACATCAAGAAGAATTCAGAAAGGACAAGGGATTACACACACATACACACACGGAGACACGCACACTATATATATATATATATATATATATATATATATATATATATATATATATGTATATGTGTAAAAAGTGTGTATATAAATATAAACATATGTATGTATGCATGCATGTATGTATACTGAATGATGATGATAGCGTCTATGATGTAAGTTGATTTGAAGTGGGCGTTGACTAAAATAGCATAGAGAGGAAGAGAAGAAAAAAATATGCAAAGCGGTATTTGAAAGAAAAAAAAAAAAAAAAGGAACGCTTGAATTTCAACGCGTTCGGGTTGGGATGAAAACGTTAAAATCCACCTGTGCGTAAATGTCGAGATTTCATGAGAGGCTTAGCACGAAGCTCTTTTCACGAATCAGACAAGTGATGACAAGTTTGCATTCTGACTTGTGTTCTTAATTTCGCTTTATTATTTATTCCTGCACTTTTAAAATTGAGAATTGTTTTGTTATTTCGAATGATTTTATTTTACTTCGATTTCAGAGGGATTTCGTATGACTGACTGCATCCTCTGCAGAGTGATAAGAAATCCTCAAAAGGGACCCACTTCCGAAGGGATATTTACATTTTCGCCGATAAAATGGGCCTATGTCTACATTTTTTAGCCTAGTGTAAATGGAAACAAAAAGAACGCTTATGCTTAGAATCAGGAAAAGATGGATGAAATTCCTTCGATACATAATGAGAAAAGCGAGATTGGAAAACTTATACCTCACAGGGCATACTGAGGACAAGAGAAATAAGGGAAGGCAGCCAGCCACCTAGCCGACAAACTTGTATGAATGGATGGTGGATCGATAGCAAAGAGAGAAAAACTACTAAGGACTAAAGGGGATAGGAAATTTTGGAGAGCCATGATCGTCTATGACTTGCAGTGACGAATCACATAGAAGTTTAAATCGAACTTGTTTCCATGAATGAAACAGAACGAATCTTGTTTTAAATTCACTCGTATCTTATACAATGGTAGCTACTATCACATTATTTTAATACGTTATTGACTTTTAACCATGTAACCTAAGCCCTGTCAATAAAATAAGTATTTAAGATAAGATTGTCATGAATTTTAATTAATCAATTTTAATGTCGGTTATCAATCATACATTTAGGTATGATGGTTTAGATATGGCGAAAAAGGAAGTGTGTCACGTTTACTATGAAGTCGCTAAAATAATGAAGACTCATTCCAAAATATGCGCGCTGAGGAAGGCAGCAATTCAACTTACAGACTAAGTGTAGAAATAAGTAGACTACAATAGCCAGAAAATATTATACATTGAAAATATTAAAAATGTAAAACATTGAAAGAAAATCTTTTCTATTTCCGAATATATATAAATATATAAATATATTCGG